GTGGTGGTGGGTTGGTTGAAAAATTCTGAAGAGGCTATGTGGCGATACAAGAATGAAATGAAGAAACTTAGTTGGTTGACAAGGAATATGTTGGTCACTGTACAGTGGGTGGGGAGATCAGCAAATACTTTGTCAGATATGTTAGCTAAGCAAGGGGTAAATAGGGAAGAATTATTTTGGGCTCAGTTGTGATTCTTGTTTTTCTWTCCTAGTTTACTTGTAAGATTCAAGGAGGGGCTGCAGCTCGTGCCTATCACTGGGATGATGTATGAACTCACTCTAAATTTGTTTCTGAATCAATAAATTTATTATTATTCATCAAAAAAAAACAACCACCCAAATGACGGTGGTATGTTCCAGAATGATATAGGGTTATATTAAACTCAACTTTGTTGGTGGCATTAGAGGAAACCCCAGACTCTCAAGTGTAGGTGGTGTGTTCCGAAATGATGTAGGGCATGTGTTGGCTCTGTTTTCTGGTCTGATTGGCTTTGGAGATCCCCTAAAAGCTGAAATATGGCAATCTTGGAAGGTGTATCTAGAGCAAAGGAGATGAACTTGCACAAATTGATCATTGGAGATGATTCAAAAATGGTGATCGAGTGGCTTCTAAATAATAGGAATGAGTTCTGGATTTATAAATGGCTAACCAGGGATATGGGTTTTAGAATTCAATGGGTGCAAAGAGTGGCTACTAGCATGGCTGACTCAATGGCAAAACAAGGGGTTGAGAGGACTAATATGTTTTGGCCCAAGTCTTAATTATTCTTAGAGGTTTTGTGGAGATAAGCTGTTTTAGCTCCTCTTTTTCTGTACTCCCTGTAATCTTCTTATTAATCTTTAATGAAAAATCCTGTTATTTATCAAAATAAAAAAAAAAAACTGCTGTCTATGCAGAGAAGAGAAGAAAAGAGAAGATTTTAGGAGTGATTTTTTTATCAGCAAAGGGAAATGAAGAAGTACAGCTGCTGGAGCAACTTTGATACAACAACACTGTTAGAGTGAGCCGAATAGGGGTAGTTTAGTAATCTCATGTCAGTTAAGTACCTTGCTTATGTGGCTGTTTTATTAGAGCACTCTGCCCCACACTTAAGTGTGGGCAGTTTAGTCTTTGTAAGTGTAATTAGAACCTAATAAACATAAGGGGGTCGACTGAATGGGTGACTAAT